TCATCCACAGTGGAAGAAAAAAATGAAGAACCACCAGCAATGTGGACATTACAGAAATTTGCTAAAGTGTTTCAAATTGCACATACTTTCGAAGGACAAACTTATGAACACAGCATTAAAGTAAGTAAAAAGTAAAGTCACCCGTAAGATCACCAGAGCATTACAACCTCTGTGGCAACATTTTAATGACTTAAAAAAAAAAAAAGTTTCTGCAAAAAACCATTCAACTAGCAAGGATACCCAACCATCGACATCATCTGTTCATGAAATTCAACCATCAATATCATTATTGCTCAATGAACCAGAATCACCTGAAGCAAATGTTCCTTCTGATGTATCATCAGAAGTTCAGTAGTAGCCTAATACTATATCACAGCACCTACTTTTATAATTGTTCTATTTTATTATTAGCTACTGTTGTTAATGTCTTATTGTGGCTAATTTATAAATTAAACTTTATCATAGGTATGTACATCATGTACAATATATAGTGTTTACTACTATCAGCAGTTTGAGACAATAGATGGGAGGCTTGGAAACTATCCCCTGTGGATATGGGGGTCCTTCTGTACATGCTTTTTCACTATGCAGAGGTGTGAAAATTGGACAGTGAAGAGAGCTGAGAGGAAGAAAATGGATGTGTTCAAACCATGGTGCTAGAGGAAAGAATTGTTAATACCCTAACAGAAAGACAAACAAGGGGGTCTAGATCAAATCAAGCTGCAACTTTCCTTGGAAGTAAAAGGGATAACACAGCCTGCCATTCTTTAGGCACCTCATGAGAAGGCAAGACTCACTGGAGAAGACAAGCATGCTAGGGAAAGTCAAAGGCAAGAGGAAGACCTGCTATGAGATGACTCAGTTTCATAAAGGAAGCCACAGCCTTGAGTTTACAAGAGCTGAGCAGCACTTACAAGGACAGGACATTTTGAACGGCATTCTTTCATAGGGTTTCTACAATATGTTTTTTTAGACATTTTTAAATTGGATTTAAAAGATGGCTTTTGGAATGCCCATTGCTGTTCTTGTTCTTATATATGGCTCTCATAATACACTGCAAATATTTTTATTGTTTTAAGTTGCAAAGTTCAGCTAGTTCTTATCATGAAAAATAAAATAAAAACAAGCCATGGTGAGTTGGTTGCTCACTAACCCACATTACTCCCAAAGAAGATCAGGCGTTCTGCAAATTGCTGTGGCTGGTTCCTCCATAGTCCTCTGATGTGTTCCTGGCATGCATCTCACGGGCTTTTGCAGCACAGACTCAGTGGCCTACTTCACTAATGAGCATAAATACAAGTACACACATTAATGACATAGAGGGTTTTTTGTAGTTTTTTTTTTTAACCTCAGAGGAGATAGATATATAATGTAACAGATGGTTTTTTTTTTTTTTTTTTACTTTTAGGATATTTGCACAAATTTGCTAAGGCTCAGTAATTACTGCAAATTTGTGCAAATCTCTCCAAAGTTGAAAAGAAAAGCAGATGCGTGCAAATCTCCTTAAAGGTTTGGAAAAATGTGTTGCTGTCTAGGGAAGGGACAGACGACAAGAGAAGGCGAGGTGACACTAGTTAGATCACAAAGAGTGATTTTTCTTTTATATTTTTTATTTATTTTATATTGTTAATTTTAATTTTATATTGTTATTTTTGTATTTTATTGTATTTTATTGTGTTTGTAAGCCACCCCAAGGCTTCGGCAAGGGGCGGCATAGAAATGTTCTAATAATAATAATAATAATAATAATGATGATGATGATGATGATGATGATGTTATTCCCAGATGGTTCTGTAGACCTTTCCAACAAGTCCTGCATAAGCTACTCTGCTTAGTTCACATAGCATGGTACGTCCCTCTGAAAACTACCCTGAACAACTCAACAACAAGCCATGGGTCCTCAGGGTGGCTTGTGTGTGGTTTCCTGAAGACAGAGAGGATATTGTGCCAGGTCAGACATCACGACAAGCAACTCAGAAACAAACAAACATGGGTGACAACCTACCATGGGTTGTCCTATTTATCCAAACCAGGTCATTGTGTGGAAAAAAGGGAAAATATGAGTACATTAACAGATAAAACTTAATATACTGGTATGTGTGTGTGAGAAAGCAAGAAAGAACACAAACGAACCCATGTGAGCACTGCACTATTGCCTTTCTGAAGCACAGGGAGCATTAGTGCTAGAACAGCAAGGCTGCTCTGCTGGGCTCACAAGATGCAGTACAAAGAATAGTTAGCTATGTCAGTATCGTCTCCCCTCCATCAAAAGGACTGTTGCAGGCATAGCCTGTTGCAGGTATTCTTCTGGAAGAACTTGAACAACAGCATCAGAGACTGTGGCTGGTCAGCCAGTACAGGAGGGAAACAGAAAATGTCCTTTTGTGATCAATCAATGTCAGTTGCAGAGCACAGGGTTTTGTCCATATCTTACACTTCGCCATCACACAGCTGTTCTGTTTATAAAAAGTGTATTTGCAAAACCATATCCTAGGGCAGTCTTCTTTAGCCTTCTGCACACTGGATGTTTTGGACTACAGCTCCCATGACTCTAAGCCATATGGACTGAGAATGATGGGAGCTAAAATAGAAAATATCTGGAAGGCACCAAGTTTAGGAAGGCTGCCCTAGGGATGTCCAGGACATCTGAATATTTACACAAATTAGGTGGGATAGTTTCAAATATATAAGTCAATCTTCTTTATAACACGCATACAAAAAGACAACTCAGGTTGTTCTTAGAGTGCCCATCTAAATTTAATCGCATTTAAAAAAGTCAGACACCAAAAGAAAAAAGATAACTTTTAAATGCTGAAAACAACATCTATTTGATTTTGTTGATGACATACACTTTTGTTAAAATATATTTTAAAATGCTACATTTGAACAAATCTAGATTCTAGCTTACTCAAAGCCAGAATAAAGTTTAAAAGCTCTTTAAAGATGGGGGAGAATGGGTTATTAAACTAAATTGAAACTATTATTTAAGACTTACAAGACTCTGATCTCACACTATATGACTGATGTAAAACATCCATGAAGAGTACTTTACATAAAATTATATTAATTAGCACTTAAATTATGTAATCCTTAAAGTATCCCATTGATGGCCAAACAATGAATTCATTGATTCATTTCACTACAGTAGAAATGATTGCTACACACGGAAAATGTCAAGGCAACATTAAATGATTTGTCATTTACTTTGCACATGTTACTTTCTTGCACATGTCACTTAAAACAACAAAAATGGTACATAATTTGGCAAACATATGGCCAGGTAGAGCTTTTCAGACTTTGTACTAAGTAATTATTAAATCAAACCAAAGAGATAAACTATTTACTATACCATTAATCTTTGCATCTCTTTTAGTCACAGATAGTATCTGAGGCAAAGGTATATGACTTCCACAGATAAGTGTGGAATGCAACTGTATGGAGGTTTTGACAGAAAAGGGGCCTGCAGTTCCCACTACACCCCAACCAGTCTGACTGGGGAATGTTGGGAGTTATAGGCCTTTTGACTTTTCAAACTTGAACAGGATTGTGTATTTAACCACTGAAAAGATGGTGGGACATAGTATTTATTTATTTAACACTTTTGTATGCCGTCCTTCACTATCACGTCTCAGGATGGCTTACATGATTAAAAACAAAATCATAAAACAATCCAACAATACAATAAAATTATCACACCTGAAACAAATAAATCCAATCAAAACCAAATAAAGTGACTGTAAATGGTAAAAATACTATTTTTAAAATAGTGATTAAATAAAAAGGTTTTAACCTGGCACTGAAAAGAATATAGGCTCAGCACCAGGCAAACCTCACTGGTGAGCCTATTACATAATCTGGGCACCACCACAGATAAGGCCCTGTTTTGAGTAGATGTCCTTTTTACCTCCTTTGCGGGGGGGAGCAGGGCCTCTCCCACTGATCTTAAGGTGTGTGATATATCGAAGGAGACGTTCCTTCAGGTATCCTGGTCCCAAGCTATTTAGGGCTTTAAAGGTTAAAACCAGCACCTTGAATTGGGCCCGGACTTCAACTGGAAGCCAGTGGAGCTGGTAGAGGACCGGTGTTATATGAGGATAATGACCGGTCCCCCTCAGCAGTCTGGTTGCTCTATTTTGTACCAGCTGAAGTATCTGGACCATTTTCGAGGGCAGCCCCATGTAGAGTGTGTTGCAGTAATCCAACTGGGAGGTTACCAGAGCATGAATCACTGTTGCTAGACAGTGCTCGTCCAGGTAAGGACACAGCTGATGGACCAGCTGAAGCTGTAGGAAAACACTCCTTGCCACCACCACCACCTGGGTTTCCAGTGACAGCTCCGGGTCAAGAAGTACTCCCAAGCTACAGACCCTGTCCTTTACAGGCAATGCTACCCTGTCCAGGACAAGTTCAAAATCACTTACCTGAAACCTCAATCCGCCCACCAACAGGACTTCCGTCTTATCTGGATTTAGGCTCAGTTTATTGGCCCTCATCCAGCCCATTACCCTGGCCAGGCACTGGTTCAGTACAGCCACCACCTCACCTGGAGTAGATGTAAATGAGAGGTAGAGCTGGGTGTCATCAGCATACTGGTGACTCCGCAGCCCAAACCTCCTGATGACCACTCCCAGTGGTTTCATGTAGATATTAAAGAGCATGGGGGACAAAACAGAGCCCTGCGGGACCCCATGGCAATGCTGCCATGGTACAGAGCTATAGTACCCCAGCACCACCTTCTGGAATTGGCCAGCTAGGTAGGAGTGGAACCACTGCCAAGCAGAGCCTCCTACTCCTAAACCAGCCAGCCTATCCAGAAGGATGCCATGGTCAATAGTATCAAAAGCCAATAGTATTGAGAGGTCCAGGAGAAACAATAGGGCCGCACTCCCCCGTCCCTCTCCTAGCACAGGTCATCGTACAGGGCGACCAAGGCAGATTCAGTACCATGATCGGGTCTTAAGCTGGTCTGAAATGGGTCCAGATATTTCATTTCATCCAAGAGTGCTTGGAGTTGTCCCGCCATCACCCACTCTAACACCTTGCCCAGAAATGGAATGTTGACCACCGGTCTAAAGTTGGCAGCCACCTCTGGGTCCAGAGATGCCTTCTTCAGGATAGGCCAGATCACCACCTCCTTCAAGGGGGCAGAATCTGAGCGATTTTTTCCTTAAAGTGCTGGGCAAAGTCGCCACAGCGGGCTGCCGAAGATGAAACCACATTGTTTTCCTAGCCAGAGTGTGTCAGCCCTCGCACTACTCGGAAAAGCTCCACTGGACAGCACTGTGAGGAAGCAATGGAAGCAGAGAACTGCCTCTTTGCCACTCTCACCTCCACAGCATAGGCTCGATAGTGAGCATTTAAGTGTGTTCAGTCAGATTCATCCCGTGATGTCCTCCACCTGCGTTCTAGTTGTCTCCCAGCCCACTTCATCGCCAGCAACTTGTGTATACCATGGTGCCGAGTTGGCTCTGCTAGGCGGGAGAGGATGCTTAGGAGTGATCATGTCGATTGCCCTGGTCATCTCCCTATTCCACGAATTGACCAGGACATCAACAGGAGCACCAGCTTTATCAGTCAGAAAATCCCCCAGAGCCCTCAGGAATCCATCTGGATCCATCCAGCTCCGGGCGCAGATCATCTTAATAGGGCCTGCACCTTTCCGGAAGGAGAGATCATATAGTACACATAAATCCAATGACAGTTGAGTTGCCATGTGTGTGTGTGTGAGTGTGTGTAAAGCAATGATTTCCATATTCTTAAACCACCCTGAGACCATAATTCATATCACTGTAAATTACAAATTTTCAGGTACTTGCTCAGAAAAAAGTCAAAACAATGGCAGCTTTCCTTGAGGCAGAAAAAGGCAAACATTGTGCTCATGTTAGGAACAACAAAAGAGAACCCTACTGTACTTTTGCTTCTAGTACACCACTATCTGTTCGGTGTCCACATCCACTTACACAGCCGCTGACATGCCTTAGTGAGTTAGCACCAAAGTAGGCCAGAAGAAGATCAGTATGTTGAATTAGCAATTGCATAAGGTCTTCAGATAGGCTATCCGTACTTGAATATCGTACCTTTTCAAAGTCAAAAATGTCTTTCAGGAAATAAAGAACCTGATGCTAGTAAAAATAAAGAAAATTCAATTAATTATGGTAACCTGTGGGTTCTAAAGTTATTTCAGAAGAATTTGTTTCTACCTTTACCCAATTATATTTCTATTCCACCTTTTTCCCCCTGCAAGGAACCCAAGGCAGCTTATAAAGTTCTCTTCATCCCCAATCTATTCTCCTAACAACCTTGTGAGGTAGATTAGGCTCAGAGTCAGTGAATGGCCCAGTGGGCTTCATGGCAAAAGTGGGGCAAAGTGGGGCCTAAAACCTGGTTCTCCCAAGTCACAGTCCAATACTCTAGCCATCTCTCATACTAGCTGTTCGTATACAATACACTCACTTGATATAATGAAGTTGCATACCTTGAAAAAGCTGCATAATTTATACAGAGAATTTCTAGGGCCTAGAAATCCCCATGCCAAAACAGGACTGATGTGTTCACAAACAGCATAGAAATGTGCAAAGAAGCCATTAGGAACCTGTAGATATAATTAATACAGAAAAGATAAATTCTCAGGGCATAACTATAATTGCTATATTAAACTAAGGTATTAACATTGCAATCACTATTGCATACGTATCTGGGAGCAAGTCTCATGGAACTCCATAGGGATTGCCTTTAATGGACTGCATTGTAAATAGACATTAGCAACAACAAAGTACTTAATTAAACAGTATATTAAGCAGGTTATTTAACAAGGCAAAATTTCCTTTTAATTGTAGTAAAAACTTCATACATGTTCCAGTCAATTTATGTTACAGACTAGCCTTCCCAAACTTGGTGTCATCTGGATGTTTTGGACTCACACTTGCATTATCTGACTATTGGCCAGAACATTTGGAGGGTATCAAGTCTGGGAAGACTTCCATAGACTAAGTTAATTCTATCTTAATAGGAAGGTACAAACTCCCCTGCTGAAAAATGGCTGGAGGGGAAAGTGAAAACCAACTATTACCAAAGACCCTGTTTCCCCAGTCATTTTTCAGCAGGACAAAGCTTTTCCCTCCTGTGCAAGCAAATGGAGGACTCACTCAATCACTTGCCAAGGCTAAATGCAACTGGAAGCACACCTTGGCCTGGTCTTGGGTGCCCTTGCATTAGAATCCCCTACATTAAAACTTCTTTATGTAGCTGAACCCTGGAGCTGCTCCAAGCACCTTCCCATGGCTAACTCATTATCATGCTGACTAAATACATTAAACTTGTTTGGGAAGATAAAATAATAGCTTCTTTTAGTTCTTCAAAATGGCAGACATCCCACAGAATGTGAATTCCTTGTAGAACAGATTCTTTCTCACCCTGCAGCTCCCCAAATCTGCTCTGGAGATTCAGGGATGTGCAGGGAATGCACTGGAAGAGAGAACAAATGGAAGCCTATTTGAAAGAGTGACAATCCGATCATTCCTAATAAAACATCTAATGTACATAGCATTCAACAGGGGTCACTATCTCTACAAAATTAAAAATCTACTTACCTTCATTTGTTCCTTTTTTTGTTTTAGGACTGACCAGCAACTTGAAGCCACAGCCTAAAGAAGATTTTTTTTTTTTAAGTTTTACTTGCGCAAGAAATATTTCCTGTTCATAAACAACAACCAAAGTATACAATCATCCAAGAGTGTCACCGTACTTTATAAAGTGATAATTACTAGTTTTGTGATATTATGTAACACTGTATTATTAAGTGTTTGTTTAAGTGTTTAAGAAATTGTTGTATTGCTGTTATCACACACACCTTTTCTTCTCTCTTGGTTGCTATTTTATTTATCTATGTATCTGATGTATACCTTGTTCTATCCCAGGTAGAGCAGTTTATAGCATTTTATCTTAAAAGTTAATGGCCTTTTCTTCTATGGGTTCACAAGCTAATCTTATAGCTGCAAAAGTAGTCCACTATACATTTCAGATTCTGGTCTAACCTGTATAAGGGCTTCTATACACTCTTAACATGAACAAACTTTGTGGAAGGATAGCTCTTAATGCACAATAGAGTCATGTTTAGAACTGCTGTCTCTGTATTGATCCACCTGCAAGAGTAGCCTCCAAGTCCCAAGGATGGGACTTTAATAATTATTTATTTAAACCAATAGTCTGCTAAATTGGTCCAAGGGCCCTCTAAGCAGATTACAGTCAAGTAAAAACACATAACAATAACAATAAAAAGAAGCAATTAAAACACAATAAGCAACAGACAATTTAAAAGTCTGTAAAAGTACATAGCTGAGAGCAATTAATTTAAAAGTGTATAGATTAAAACAGACTAGTTAATATTATCCTATCAAAATCAATTATTAAAATACCTAGAATATAAAGTTGCTTTTGCCTGGTGTCATAATGACTTTTACAGCATCCCCCCCAGGAGGCTGCTGACTGCGTGTGAAAAAGCTGTGCTTTTCACCTGATGGAGTTACCAAAATGAGAGGCCATAAGGTGCATCAGGAGTAATATTTTTGTCACATATAATTATCAGATTTGTGTGTGACAATTTTAGTACTAATCAGTGCATCTTTTCCTACACACATGCTCACATACATACAAACATGCTCACACACCTCTGCCTCTACTGAATTTCAGTCTATTTCATGATTTTTCTCTACCAAACTTTTTCCTGAACAAGCACTGAACTTAAAACAAGATAATGAAATAGTTGGCTTATTTGTCAAACCTCTACATTTATGCCTATTAAGAGAAATTTGAAAGATATATATTTAACATTGCATATCAATATGGAACTGGGAAAAAAGGATTTGATAAGGTAGGACTAGCCAGGAAAGAAGAGCAAAGAGAAATTGGTTTCTACTTCCTTAACCAATAAATTTCCACTATGCCACTTTTCATTTTTATCACTGCATCAACAAAACAATAAGGTGGTCTTTTTTCTTTCACAAATGCCTACTATTATTTTGCCTATTAGTGAACTAGTTTCTTTTGTTGTGAAAGACAGAAAGTAGGGTTGAAAGGCCATAAAGGAGAAATGCTAGCTTTTGAATTCCATGGAATGTTTCAGGACCAAATGTAAAGCATAAGACCAAGTCTCTCTCATTCTCTCAAAGATCAGGATTTTAGGGAAAAATGTTAATATGGATTCAAAATTAGCACAAGATGTCCTGGTGCCTGAGGTGGAAGGACACAGGCACACCCCCCATGTCTTTTCTTCCACCAACTTTTTCAAAGCCTTGCTCTGAGGGGTCCTTCCCAAAAATGAGGCACTGTAAGCAACAGGGCCATGAAGCTCACCTCTGATGCCAGAGCACAAGCAACCCCAGCTCATCTTTTGCCAAGGGTAGTGTTGCCCCAAGAGTCTTTGGTAGAGACGGGCTTCAGCCTCTCCCAGCCCCTTTTTGATGGGGTGATTCCTCCCCTGTGCAAGTTAATGCAGAAATCTTCCCATTTACTCTCAGAGGAAGAAAATTGCTCACCTGATGCAGTGGTTTCCAGTGTCACTGTGTTTATAAGTCCTGGCTGAGACACCTTACGGGCACAGTGACACCGGAAACCCCTGCATTCAATTTCTGTGTGTAACTGAACAGCTTCCTGAACAGCTTTATTGCCACCATGGAAATAAAACAGCTGATACAGCTTCATAGAGCCCAAGTGCCCAATGCTTTGCTCTGTAGGGTCAGTGCTCTTAGTGATTAAGAGCACCAGACTAGAACTCAGGAGATCTGGGCTCTAGTCCCCACTTGGCCATGGAGCCAACTGGGTGACTTTGGGCCAGTCAAAGACACTCAGCCCGGCCTACCTCACAGGGTGGTTGTTGTAGGGATAAGATTGAGAGCAGGAGGAGGAGAATGATGCAAGCTGCTTTGAGTTTGTTATAAGAAAAAAATGGGATATAAATCTAATCAATAAATATAAAAGCAAGCACCCACAGGAATGGTCTCCTCACTGACTTTTTTAGCTTTGGTGATGACAGGGAGGTCTATGCAATCTACTGCCTAAGATGGGAGATTACCCCCACCTCATGGAAAAGCCAGCTGTGTCAGAATTTCATATGTAGTTTGCAAATAACCATTCCCCGTCTACTTTACAAAGCCTGTTCAACTTTAAAATGTTAATTCTTTTAAATCAATATTAACTATTCCAATAACAGCCATCCAGCTATGGTATACTGCTTTTTGACATCTTGGGATACTTTGCCAGTGCCTTCTGAATTATATGGTTTTTCTATCACATTACATGGCAGTCAGTGTGATATTCTATAATTCTACAGAGAATTTCAAAAGGAAACTGGACAGTCATCTGAGTGGGATGGTGTAAATGGGGTCCTGTAACAGCAGTGCGTTGGACCCAATGGTCTTCTTGGCCCCTTTCAACTCTACTATTCCATGATAACAGAAATGTTCTGGTTTCCATGTTTTAACAGTATTCAAGCTTAATTTCATGCCAATGTCGCCAGCACATTCTTAAATGCCAACTAATGCTTTAAAACAGAACTATTTGTAGCTATAAAAATGAAGAAAACCACATAGTTTTGTTTTGATCACCACATAGTTTTATTTTTTTAGAAGATCTAAAAAAAAAGACCTTCTATGCTAAGAAAAAAATACTTTAAATAGTTTTTGATACAGCTAAGCAGTTTTGTCCTAATAAGGACTGGAAGAATACAATGTACAGATGGCAAACCTAGACTTTTGTCTCCCACAGGGCATAGCAGAATTTGAATGGAATGTAATCCTTTCATAGCAGAAGGTAAATGCTACTGCCAAAAGCCATTTAGATACATATAAAATTTATAATCAAGGCAAGCTGGGGGAATCCCCAAATGGTTTGCGATCTTGCACAACTCAAGGACCATGTTCTGAGTATAACTTTTTCAAGAAAGCCCAAATATCCATTATTTGTTGCTCTGTATCACATCTTTGTTGGAAAATCTAAGTGCCACCCAAACTGATCAAAAGAATAGGGAGAGGAAAACATCAGCAGCAGTGCCTCTGCATTACTTCTCCTTTTAATGAGTTCAGCAATACACGGTGAGGACTGAAGCTGTTTTTCCAGCTTAAAGTGGCAACCAACCACCATACTCAATTCATAGAGTGTGAATGGAGGAGCAAAATAAGAACGACACAGACAAAGCAGGGTGAAGGATACAAAGGAGTGTGAAGAATTCAATAGAATGTACTGAAATACAGGGTGCCAAGACCTGTGGAGAAACTGGATGGAAGAGATAACAGATAGGAATGTGCAACAGTTGGGTCTGCGGGGAAGCCCGAAGGATAAATTAATGAGTAAGGTGCAGGCTTGGGACAGACATAGACTTGCTTTGTACATAACAGTAATTCATGAAATATTCAGCTCAAGAATTGCCCTGGTACAGTAGGAGTAAGTGGACACATTGCCTCCCATATGTTCATCTCTTCCAATGTACACAGCATAATCCTTTGGCTCTCCTAACCATGTCAGGAGGTCCTAGAATTGTGCCCTAAAAGGCTCAGAAACTGAGCAACAAAACCTACAAAATAATCTGTAAGAAAGGGAAGCAGTTTGAATGCATTGCCCAAGATCATGCCAAAGGGGGCTTGCTCAGAGTTGTTTTTGTAACAGCCATGGAAAACTATTTCCACATTGTTTTCTTTTTTTCATCTGGAATTTATTGGGCCAGAGTATATTGCGAAAGCAGTGTAAATTCTAAGGTTCTTGGATGAAAGAGCACCTACTTGGGATCTCTTGCTGCAAAATAATTATGCCTTTATTAAGAGAATGTGAGTACATGCCAGTGTTTTGTAAATTTGGTGAACTACGGGGGTTCTAGTTACTAGAAAAGGTAGACCATGTAAGACCTCAATTAGACTAGACTAGTGCTAGGCCACATGTAAGGATGACCAAATTCAACTTAGCAGTTACAACAGGATACAATTAGGATGTAACTTCTCAAAAGTCCAAATAAATCTGTGTAGTTGAAATGATCTACTACTAATGCATTAATTAGTTTAAACTGTGAAATGAAACAGCAGAAAACTAGTAGGTGTAACTATCTGCATTCTCTCAACACTGATGATAGTGGGTGTCCTTTAAAGTCAACTAAAATAATTTTAAATAAAAATGATATAAACAAATAGGATCATCTCAAACTTAGTAAAACTGGTGTCCTTGAATGCATTCATGGCTGCACAAGCCTTGCTTTTCATTGCCAACCAAGATCAATACACAGTTCTGCACAGAAAGTAGCTTCCCAGAACTACTGTACAGACTATCATGTGAAATATGGGCATGTGTGGGGAATAAGACTGGTCAGAATTTCTTGCATATATATTCTTTTAATTGTGGATAAAATGATGAATACACTGCTAGTCATGCATACCTTACCTTCTATTATTTGCAATGCCAGGTGCTATGGCGTGATGCAAATTTGTTTATTTCTACACAGATTACTCATCTAAATGTCTAGACAAGTAAAATTAACTGAAAATAACTTTTTATCCATAAAGCAACTACTTCCACATTTAAACATTTACTTATTTACCTATTCTATTATTTTATAACCAGCATATGAAAACATGAAACAAAATAAACACTTACAGTTTCTTTGAAGGAGGAATTCAACCAGTGGTTGTTAACCACATTCTGTATAGACAAGGGTGGATTCTCTAAATCTTCAAAAGAATCCATTAATATGAAGTCCAGAACTACATCATAGAAATTTAGATGATTCACCTGTGTTAGGATCAAATTTTTTGAAATATTACTGAACAGTTTAAAAAGTATAAGTTTAACCTCAGTTAAAACTAATGTTCACTGATCATAGACAATGCTTTAAATAGGTCATAGACAATGTATTAAATAATTTCATTAAGACCATGATCATACTCAACATGTTCTGGGAATCCTATACCATGCTGGGCTCCTATAAGAGTGCAGAACAGATGCAATATTCACCTCTCTGCCCTATTTTATAGTATTTTCTTCTAGGTGGGCCTGTCTAGTAAGCCCTTATTGCTTGGATGCAGGGGCACCAGACACTAGATCTGTCAGATCCATGGTCCCACTCATCTCCACTGACACCTCCCCATTCCTTTTCCCAAGGTTGCAGCCAGCTCTGTGTGCAGCCAGAGGAGATCTGCAGCTGCCTGGGCTGCAGGACTGTACTTTAAGTAAACTAATTAAAATAATGTGCCCCCTGAAGTGTAGACAAAATAAATATCATGGGCTGGTGGACAAAATAACAAACATGGGAACTCTTGGGGAAAGTGACCATGTAATACTAGAATTCTCAATTATGAAGGAGACAAAGGGTAACTGGAGTCAAACAAGCATCCTGGACTTCAAGGAAGCCAACTTTAACAAACTCAGAAAAACAATAAGCGATGTGCCATGGCAACACACCCTTAAGGGGAAAGGTGTCCAAGAGGAATGGGGAATCTTGAAAAGGAAGATCCTTGAAGCACAACTACGAACAATTCCATCAAGAGAATAGTGTAGAAGACAGCAGAGGAAGCCCATGTGGCTCCACAAAAATTTAAGTGATGGCGTAAAAGAAAAAAAGAACATCTACAGGAAGCAGGGCCAGGCCATGAAGGAAAAAATATTTTTTAAAAAGCAAGGAATTGCAGGGACACCATCAGGACGGCTTAAGCAGGAACTTAACTGAGAATAGCAAGAGATACGAAGAACAAGAAAGCCTTCTTCAGATACATCCAGAACAAAAGACACAAGAAAGAGAAGGGTGTCCAGCTACTTCAAGTGGATGGCAGAGTGATAACAGACAACAAGACAGAGGTGCTCAATTCCTACTTCGCCTCAGTCTTCTCCCACAAGAAAACCTACAACCAAGAGGAAGCACAGGCTGAAAGTGAAAGGTGGCAGCCCAAGACTGACAGACACATGGTCAAAGAATACCTAAGTAGAATAAACACATTCAAATGTCCAGGGCCCGATGAACTCCATCCCAGAGTCATGAAAGAGCTGCGGAGGAACTCTCAGAATTACTGGCTATCATCTTCGACAAATCTTGGAAAGCAGGAGAAGTGCCAGACGACTGGAGAAGGGCTAATGTTGTCCCTGTCTTCAAAAAAAAAAGGGGGGGGTAACTATAGACCAGTTACGATATCAATCCCTGGATAAATTCTGGAGCAAATTATTTAAAAAATTCATCTGTAAGCATCTTGAAGAAAATGCAGTGATTAATAGAAACCAGCATGGATTTATCAAGAATAAATCCTGTCAAACTAATTTCATTGCATATTTGACTGGATAACTTCCCAAAGGGACAAAGGGAACACTGTGGACATAATCTACCTAGACATTAGCAAAGCTTTTGACATAGTGCCACACAATGTTCTGATAAGCACATTAGCAAAAACTGGACTAGATGGAAAAACTATTAGGTGGATCCAAAATTGGCTGCTAAATCAGTCACAGAGAGTGCTCATCAATGGCACCTTCTCAAATTGGATGGAGGTAAATAGTGGGGTGCCACAGGGTTCAGTCCTGGGCCCAGTGCTCCTCAACATCTCTATCTAATGATTTAGATGTGGAAGTACAAGGAAAGATAATGAAATTTGCAGATGATACAAAACTGGCTGGAATAGCAAACACCCTAGAAGACAGAAGGAAGATCCAGGGTGATCTTGATAAACTTGAACACTGGGCTGAAAGCAAAAGAATGAAATTGAATAAGAACAAGTGCCAAGTCCTCCACCTAGGAAAAATAAACCAAAGGCATCGATACAAGATGGGAAATACATGGCTCAACAGAACTGAACAAGGAAAAGATCTTAGAGTAATTCTGGACAATAGGCTAAACATGAGCCAATAATATGATGCAGCCGCCAAAAGGGCAAATGCTATTTTGGGATGCATTAACAGAAGCATTACTTCCAAAGCACAAGAAGTAGTAGTTCCTCTATATTCTTCACTAGTCAGACCTCCCCTGGAGTACTGTGTCCAGTTCTGGGCACCAAGATTTAAGAAAGATGCAGGTAAATTTGAAAGGGTCCAGTGGAGGGCGACAAAAATGAGCCAGGATTTGGAAACACTGCCCTGTGAGGAGAGACTGAGGAACAGGGCATGTTCAACCTTGAGAAAAGAAGACTGAGGGGGACATGATATCCCTCTATAAGTACCTCAAAGGCTGTCACAAAAAGGACGGTCAAGATCTCTTCTTGCTAATGCAAGAATGCAGACACAGATTCAATTCAAGATAGATAGAAACATAGAAACAGAGCAAGTCAGAAGGTGCCTCCCAGGCCATCTAGTCTGACCCCCAGCTCTAGCCAGTTCTGCTCACAACATGCCTACCCTGTGCATGTCTAGCCCATCCTTGAACACCCTCACTGATGGGGCCTCAACCACCCCCCGTGGAACCCCATTCCATACCATTGGGGTCCTAACTGTCAGGAAGTACTTCCTGGCATCCAAATTGAACCTTGGTTCCCTGAGCTTGCCTCTGTTGGAGCATGTCCGGCCCTCCTCTGCAGGGGAGAACAGGTCTCTACCCACCTCCATGTGTCACCCCCTCACATACCTGTATGTTGCCAAAAGATCTCCTCTGAGTCTCCTCTTCTCCAGGCTGAAGAGACCCAGTTCCCTCAGACTCGCCTCATACGGCATCCCCTGCAAACCAGCCACCATCCTTGTGGCCCACACTGCACTTACTCTAACCTGGCTATATCCTTCCTGGAATAAGGGGCCCAGAAATGAACACAATACCCCAGTTACAAGTGCACCAGAGTCATATAGAGTGGTAGTAATACCTCTCTCACTTCTGGCTATGCAACCAAGGGTGGGGTTTGCCCTCTTAACCACTGCATCACACTGCTGGCTCATGTTTAGCATCCCGAGATCCCTTTCACAAGTGCTGCTCTCCAGCCACTTGTCACCTAACCTGTACTTATGACACCTATTCCTATGCCCCAAGTGCAAGACCTTGTACTTAGCCACATTGAATGCCATGCTGTTGTCTTCTGCCCACTTCCATAGTCTGTCCAGATCCTTTTGGATCTGGAGTACCTGCTCCTCAGTTGTGGCCACTGCTCCAGTTTTAGTGTCGTCTGCGAATTTGATCAGCAGGCTGTTCACCCCTTCTTCCATGTCGTTAATGAAAAGATTAAACAGGATCGGCCCCAGGACAGAGCCCTGGGGGACCCCACTTGTCACTGGCCGCCATCCCGATGATTCCCCGCTAATGGTTACCTTCTGCTTTCAGTCAGTTAACCATGCCCTAATCCACCGGACAGTGCTTTGGTGTATCCCAAAACTCCTCAGTTTCTCCACCAGGATATCATGGGGCACTTTGTCAAAGGCCTTGCTGAAATCCAGGTATATAACATCCACTGCATCCCCTCCATCTAGCCATCTCGAAACCTTGTCATAGAATTCCACAAGGTTTGTCTGGCAGGACCTGGTTTTGCGGAAGCCGTGCTGTGTGGCTGCCAGCCTCCCTTCCCTATCTAGCATCACTAGATCTCTCTCTATTATGAGCCTTTCCATTGTTTTTCCTACGATGGACGTAAGGCTAACCGGTCTATAATTCCCCATGTCCTTTCTACTACCCTTTTTGAAAATTGAAACCAACCTCCAGTCCTCTGGAACTTTACCCGTTCTGCACGAGGTCTCAAAAATGGAGGCCAGCGGGCGTGAGAGAACCCCTGCCAACTCTCTAAGTACTCTCGGGTGTAACCCGTCAGGGCCTGGCACCTTTGTAATGTCCAATGCCCTGAGGAGCCCCTCGACTTCAAGGGGGGTGACTCTAATCTGTGCTCCTAAGTCCCCAGCCTCATCTAATCTCCTATGCGGATATTCCCCGTCCTGCTTTGGGGAGAACACAGAGGCAAAATAGTCATTTAGCATCTGTGCCTGTTCCCTCTTATCAGTCACTGGATCTCCTTCCTCCTTATTTAGTGGTCCCACCACTTGTCTCCCCTTCCTCTTCCTATTTACATGCTGAAAGAAGCCCTTTTTGTTGCTCTTGATATTCTTGGCAAGTCTCAGATCATAATCAGCCTTAGCCTTGTGAAGAATCCTACTGCAACGGGCCTCCTCCTCCCGGTATACCCTTTTGTCTATTTCCCCCAGTACCATTTCCTACGGAGGTTCGTTTAATCCCTCTAACCACCTCCTTTCGCATCCAAGGCAGCACTCTCCTCCACGTCCCCACCTTACTGACTAGAGGTATCATCAAGGATTGCGCCTCCAAAACCTCACTTTTGAGTGCTATCCACCCCTCCTCAACTCGCTTACCTTCCAGTAACCTATCCCAGGAGACTTTCCCCAGTCTGGCCTTCAGTTGGCCAAAGTTGGCCCTCTTGAAGTCCCAGCTTCTAGTGCTCGACCTGCTGCACGTCCCCAGTCCCCTGATCTCAAAGCAAAGGATGGAGTGATCACTCGCATCCAGAGCTCCCCTAATCTGTACTTCATCTATCAGCTCCTCCCTATTGGTCAAGACCAAGTCAAGGATGTTTCCCCCCCTCGTTGTCTCTCGGACCCTCTGTGTGAAAAACCCTCCCTCTATAGCTTCTAAGGAGCGACGTGACCTGGCAGTCACCGCCGAGTGAGTCTCCCAAGTAATATCCGGGAGATTGAAATCTCCCATAATTACTGTGTCTCTCCCCTGATATATCCTTAGAATCTGGTCTGTCAGGACATCATCCAGGGTCTCAAGTTGACCTGGAGGGCAATAACATACCCCCACTGTCAGGTCTCTTTCCCTGTCAAAACCCGTAAGTTTCACCCAGACTGTCTCTACCGAATCCCCATCTGTGCTGCATTCAATCTCACTGCATCCTATCCCTTCCCTGATGTATAAAGCCATGCCCCCACCTCTCTTTCCCTTCCTGTCCTTTCTAAAAAGGTGATACCCTTCTATGTTCACATCCCAGACTTGCCTTTCATCCCACCAAGTTTCTGTGATTCCCACCAGATCATACCATCCTATTCCCTGGAGAGCTTCAAGCTCTTCCTGCTTATTACCCATGCTCCTAGCATTGGTGTACATGCACCTCAACTCCTTCCCACGGCTTCCTTTCCTTGGAGTTACCAGCCTCCTCCTTCCTCCCATCCTCCCTGATACCTGGCCCCTCTCTGTAGGAGTCCTGTCAGTCCCTGCAGTACCTCTAAAACCCTGCTCCCAGAGCCCTGATCCTCCCCCCACACTTGTCCAGTGCAGACACGTTACTGGGGGGCCTGAACCTCCTCCCCCCGGCTCAGTTTAAAGTCTTCCGGATGAAGCTCGCTAGAGCATCTCCAAAGGACCTTTCCCCCATCCTCGTGAGGTGTAACCCGTCCCTTGCCAGAAGTCCATTGGCAAGAAAACTAGTGCCATGGTCGAGGAACCCGAAGCGTTCCTTCTGGCACCACACCCTAAGCCAGTTGTTCACCTCGGAGGCCCTCCTGTCCCTTCCTGGCCCAAATCCTCGGACAGGTAAGATTGACGAGCAGGCCACTTGGGCCTTCAGCTCCCTGAGTTTCTTCCCCAAGGCCTCAAAGTCCCTGGTGGTCCCAGCCACACCCTGCCTGGCCACATTGTTTGTGCCCACATGGATCACCAGGAGTGGCTGGTGACCCCCAGAGCAAACAAGACACTCCACTCTGTCCTTCACATGCCGGATGCATGCGCCCGGCAGGCAGCAAACCTCCCTTGTCTCCAGGTTGGGGCGGCACACTGCTGCCTCAGTGCCCCTCAGCAGGGAGTCCCCAACAACAATCACCCATCGCCATACCTTCCCGGTGCTGGTGGGCAGCCGTGCCCTGGCCCTCGCCTCTCCTGCAGCGGCCCCCTTGCCGCCTGACGTCCCAGGCTGTGGATCCTGCTGGTCCCCCGAGGCCACATCAGCCCCAGCCTCCCCAAGTGGAGAGAACCTGTTTCCCAGCTCCAGATTGGTGCCAGGAGAAGGAGGAGGCCGTGCTGGCCTCCTCCTCCTGTGGGTGACATACCTCCATGTCTCCGCAGCTGCTCCTCCCGTGGCCTCTCCCTCAACCCTCTGTCCAGAGGGGGGCTGCTCCGGGGGGGGGGGCCTGGAGAGGTCTCTCAGCCCTCAGGCACCTCACCTCCTCTTCTAGCAGGGTCACCATCTTGCACCGAGGGCAAGTGTATCCCTGCCTCTCCTGGGGGAGAAGGGCGAACATGTCGCAGCTCTCGCAGCGGACAGCAACACCCGTGACTCCCGCCAAGGCCATCTCCTGGTCTGCCATCGGTATCCCTTCCAAGACCTTACCTTGGTCCCCTGCCTTGTTTCTCCTGCAGTTCCTCTCACTCGCCCAGTTCTCCCAGACAAAAACCCACTCGCACACACACACAAGGATAAAATAAACTTAAATTGGAAGAAAAACAAAGCACAGCACAGCACAAACAAAAACAAACAAAGAAACAAACAAACAATCAAATCTCTGTGTCTCAGGGAAGGGAGGCTCTGGACAGCCCGGGCCGCAGCCAAGGGACGCAGACAAGGGACGACGCCTTATCAGTCCCTCAGGCCGGTGGCCCCATCTGTCCGCTTCCTCCTGGCTGCTCTAGCCTCTCTGGCCCCGCCCCCTTCCTCTCCGCTGCTCCTGGCCCTCTGCTCCCCGGCCCAGCTCCTACCTTGCCTTCGTCAGTCCCCTGGCCACTCAGCGCTCTCTCCCAGCCTGTGCCTCTGCTGCTCTGCCAAGAGGCCAGAGCCAAAAGCCAGAGCCAATACGACAACCCAGATTCAGGCAGGAAAAGCTTCCTCACTGTTAGAGCAATATAACAGTGGAACCAGCTGCCTAGAGAGATGGTGGGCTCTCCCACACTGGAGACATTCAAAAAGAACCTGGACGGCCATCTTAGTGGGATGGTGTAATGTGGTGTCCTGCAACAGCAGGGGGTTGAACTCGATGGCCTTAATGGCCCCTTCCAACTCTTCTATTCTATGATTCTTTGATCAGTAAGCAAAGTGCAATTCTCTAGCCAGAGCAAAATAGAGAACAATGACAACCCACTTAACTGAAATCCAAGTACAACATATACATACTCCACAAGCAGCAAGCTCCATTTCAGTATTAGTCCAATGATCAGTTTGCTCTAAGAAAGAGATCATATCATCAAATACTTCCTCAAATTTCTTTGGATTCTGTAAAATAAAACAAACAAGTTTCATATGATTCTCTTAGAATATTAACAGATTATAATTTAACCCATAATGAATAACCTAGGGACAGAAAAACTGGCTCTAGGCCTTGGATCAGGCTTGGCATGGGCAGGCATCTGCTGAGCATCAGGAAGTTCAGAAGCCAAGCCCTGCCCATGCTCTGGCTACAACCAAAGCCAAGCAGCAGGACCTGTCAGTAATGGGAAATACTGTGGCAGCCAGCCAGCCAACCAAAAAAGGTACAGATGCAGTGATAAGACTGCCCCTTTGCTGCTTCTGCGCCCAGAGAAATCAACTGATTGGTTTGGACTGCTCCTACTCAAACTGAAGGTTAAAAAGAGTTTTATTTTGAAGTGGAAAAGTGTAGACCCTCCAGCCCTGACCAGGTGGCTGCCATGGTGCTTTTTGATGCCATGTGAGGTCAATGAGGCGAAGAAGAAGAGCAGCAGAAGTCACAGAAGGTTAATAATGGAATGTGGGCTAGCTGAATAGCAGTGGCAACAGCTGGCTTTGGCTTCAGGTGGGAAGCTTTGTTTTCAGGACTTCATTGGTGAATGGCATGTGCAAGCAGCCTTGGCTGCAGGGGGCAAGGGGCTTGACAGAATGGTACAGGGTCCTTCAACAACACTGTGTTGATGGCCCATTGGAATCTGGTGCTGGCCCTGGTATAATCCAATTTTCCTGGTACACTTTGATATACATATGGAGCTCCTCTGTGATTGGCTGCAGTTGGTGCTACTCTGTCAACACAATTGACATGAATGGCTGTAGAAACTGAAATCACCGAACAAGTGAGACTGCATTTTGACTGCATTAACTATGAATGAAAGGAGCTTCTCAACTGGGCAATATCAATACACTAACTAGGAAATATCTCTGCAGCACACAGACCTGTAGCTGTAAAAACAACTTTCTGCCTCCAATATACATATACAAAATGGGAATACTAATTTCTTATCTCACATTACAAGGACAATTAAGATTGTAAATTTTTGTGTATTAAATATGGCATATGGATAACTAAAGGAAATAGGGTTTACCTTTCTTGCTCTCTCAATTAAAGCACAAAAAATTTTCCTGCCACTTTCAACAAGAAATATTCGATTTGTAGTGTCTGAAAGGATTACCTGTAAAGAAACACCAGACATTACAAAGTTAGAAATTTCATAGCTCAATTCTCCATCTAAATTAATTGAAAACAAGCCCACAAATTAGAACCCCTGGCTTACATGCTATGGGGATTAGTATGAACCAGGTCTCAGTATAAATCTTCCTTTTCCTGAGTAACCTTGGGGAGGGGAAGGTGCTAGTGGCAGGGAGAACTGGCTATCAATAATGAAGGCCTTGGAAGAGGTAGAATGGAAAGATGTTCGGTATGTGTACCATCCTTCTAAGCTTTCTTGAAGAATGATGAATAATAATAAAGAAAACAAAAGTTCAGAAAGACTGAGCCAACTACTAGTGAGTGGCGAAACTGGCATATATGGGGTACTGACAATTTAGGGATGGCTACTGAAATAAGCCCAATTTGCAGAGCTCAAAAATAGAGCTACTTAACAAAGTAGAGCTAGAACTCTAATTGACCATGGTTTTAGAATGCAATCTTTTCTGATCATTCAATCCTATGAAAATCAAGCATGATCTATTACCGCTGGCTATGCTGGCTAGGTATGATGAGAGCTCTAGGCCAAAACATCTGGAGGACCACAAGGTGCTCAACCCAGTCTTGCAACTAAACATTGCAACAGAGTTATAGATTAGATATGCCATCAAGGCATGACAGGTAATAAAGTTCAAAGACATTTGCACTGAGTAATATACAGTTGGCCCAATAAGTTCTGCTGCTGAGGAGATGCACATTGTCACATGAATGAGATGTGTTGGTGGAGATTCACAACACTGATTGCTTAAGCAGCTGGATGGGCCCTGGTTACAGATCCTAGTCTGCAGGATAGCTCAATGGGGTGCTTCTCACACTGTGAATTTTATTAATATGGTACAAAGGTCGGTTAAAATAAAGGAGTAAGTACCTCCTTGGCAATGAATTGTTACCTGAAAACCTTGTCGGATACAGTGAAGCTTAGCAAGAAAATCGCTGTCGCCCAAACATTCCAGTGTTTCAGTTCTACACACACACACAAAGAATAAAATTAAGAGCATTTGAAGCATACTTGCAGACTTTACAAGTTACATTTGTATTAGGAAAACACACAGAAATACTGAGTACCGTAAGACTCGTGAATATATCTTTCCCTCTTCTGCCAAGTGCATAGCCTCTTCATATAGCGGGCAATGGCAAAGTGAATCCAGGTTGTAAGGATTTCGGCTTTCTTTGTGTTCTGTAAGCTAGAAAAGGTACCTTTTCAAGATGGATCACTTAACTTCTTGAAACTGAAAGAGACTTTCACAAATATAGCAACTTAACACTTTTGTGTTATTCCTGTCTTTCCTCTTCAAGGTAATAATGAAACATGTAATAGAAAATCTACAATGACAGACTAGGACATAGATCTGCCATTTTGCAACAGCTGAGCTCTTAAGAATGTCCAAATGTTTTGTGGCAAGCCAAGCCATCCAAAGAATCAGAGAGATAATTTACAATCTAATTATATTTTATTTATTCATTCATTCATTTTCAAATGTATAGGTTGCTGAATAGCCCAATAGAGCTCTCTAAGCAGCAAACAACAATACAATTCAGGCTAACATTGCAATTTTACCAGAGGAGGGATTAAGAACAGGGGAATAAGAAACTACAGCACTTTAAGGAAAGGCAATTAAGAACTTGATCATCAACAGGAAACCCAAAACACCACATATTTCATGTATGGGAAAGGTTCGGCTGCTAAGCCAAAAATGGCCACAATTCTAATGGAGCTCAGTCATGTGTTATGTGGTTATAGAAATACCTCTAAAAAGAGACTGATTGAGGTTTCATTAAAATAATGAAAAACCACTGCTGCTAAGCAAAGCTGGCAAGGTCGGGATATTTCCGAAGTGGTAGATCTGAAAGCCATAGATCTCTAGTAGTTCACTTGTTTCTAAATGAAATTTGAATCAGTGTCATTTTTTTAAAAGTTTACAACCCGTATAAAACACTCCACTCTGTTGGGGTTTTTTTATGACTAAAATTCACTTCCATTATTCTCAGTTGTTTTTGTTTTTTTTACTAGATGCTATTATCACCAGACACAGCACCACCAATTATTTCTATAATGATTAACATGTACTAAGCACTTTAAAACAGCATCAAATTTATGCTACTTCAACAAGGGCATATGCTCAATTTCCAGGCTACAAGCAATACATTCAGAATTAAAATATAATACTTTGAAGTGGAAGGCCACAGCAGCTTAAACTTTATTTATTTTGGATCATAGTTTACCCACTCATAACTGAGGGGGGTGTCTTATAACAGTAATGTATAATTAGGCTCCAATCTTAAATGTATTTAACTAGAAGAAGGCTCACTGAAATAAAGTGATTTTCCAGTAATTATGTTTGAATGTCTTGAGCAAATCCAATAAAAGGAGAACCTTATGTGAAGGAACAACATCAAGCTTCCTTTACTTACCTCATCAGTTTTTAAAGCTACCAACTTCATTTGTCCAACAAAAGGAAAATTGTATTTTGATATGACTGTCTAGAATGATGATTGCACAAACATCTCAACATTCAGCTCCTGACCCAGCATTTCTATTATGAAGCATTTTTCTGCTAGAGCAAGAATGCCCTTTAATGCATGTTTACAAATGCCAGAAGAAACCTGAACTTCTTACAAGGAACACATTATAACTTTATTCTCTAACATAACCTTCCCTTCCCATCAAGGCAAGACAATCTAGGTGTGGGTATTACAGTCCTACATAGACTAAACTGTATATGAAATCTAAGAAACAGCTGGCCCAGACTAGGAATATCTTTTTCTGTCAGTTATTGACTAAAGTTTCTAGTAGCAGGATGCCTAAAGGTCTTAAAAATTATCATACTTCTTGGGATGAATTTATTTATGAGGTGACCACCAAAGTTCATTCGTTCACTTTTCCTTTCCAGTGTACTTATGAATCCTCTTAATCAGTCTCTTTTTCCTTACTTCAGACATTATATACTTTCTATATGGAAAACATGTCTGTGTGCTAGCATATGTATCATTATACTTTATGAATTCACAGATATTTTTACTGCTTAGGCACAGTGTTGAAGTGCCAAAAAGACAGAGCCTACTAGTAATAAGTTTCTAGACATTTCTTGAGGCATGTCCTTCAAACAGAATTGCTACCTAGCAAAGACCACTGATCCACCTAGCACAATACCTTGGCGGTATGAGGACTACAGTAAAGTAGTGAACAATGCTTCAACATACCTCAGCAGCAGAAGCAAATGAATCTGTTGATCCAATGCTTAATGTATCCCGCAGATTAAATTCATCTGCATTATCCTTCAATGTGCTATCTGTACTTTTATCTTTAAAAAGGAACAAAATTAATTAAATATACTCTTTTTATTATCTTTACAATGCAATGTAGTAGTAACTAAGCAAAATCATTACTCTATAACATTATAAATACACTCCCTCCCCTTTTCCAATAGCTCAAGGTGGGTTACAAAATGTGCTTCTTTCATTTTATGAAAGTCACTGAATTATAAACTATTATAGCAAGTTTTGCTGCTAATTTTTGTTTTCCTTCTCAAAATTTCATCATGAACTGCAAATACAAGCAGCATACATGGCTCTGTCCTCAGCAGAGAGAAGTTAAATACATGTAGCCCAATATATTTACTTGAATAATTCAATAAAAATAGAAGATAAACACCCATCTGTCACTTTTGTAGTTCTAGAATCTTAAGTCCCAGACACCTGCAACTTGGCATACATACTAGGACCTTTACAATGTGCACCTTAGGTTTATTTCATTTTTAAAAAACACATTGATTTTAGTGTGTCCCATGTATCCATATGTTATAAGCCTGCAATATATCACAAAGGGAAGACTTCCCTAACTTGTCAATAGGTTTCCAGTCAATTATGTTTGAAGTCAAGGGAGATTAGTAGACAGAGAGACAAGTTATAAACCTCCCTCCCCACCCCCACTTGCTGCAGCTCCTCCCTTAGAGAATGCAAAAGTGGACTTTGCTCATTTTCCCCATTCCAGGAAGTGATAGTTTTGTACAGTTTCTTGGGTTGCACTAACAAGTGCTACTTTACTATTGTGCCAGTGGTTGTCGCCACAAGTCAATCCTGTTTAGAACTGGAGCATTGTCAAGATTGGATACTGTCCTTGATTTTTATTTTATTTTAAGATTAACTACTGCCAACTACTTTATTAGCTTTCCAGAAAGCATTCATTAGGGTTGCGATTTATATAAAGGTATCTGAATCATTCTACCAAAAGCTACCTCCAAACATTTTTAGTATGTGCTATTCTTAGTTCCTGATTGCAAGCAGTACCATAGAACAACAGCATGTTTTCCAGTCACATAGCCTACTACCCAATCTAAATTCAGACAAATAATATGCCAATTGCATTTATTTCCAGTAGATTTCCAGCTTTTACAGACTTCCAAGTCTTGAAGAGATCTCTTGAAAGATAAATGTAGATGTCATTTAGAAATGAGCTTGCATATCTGTCATCTTTCAATGTTATTCTTAAGTAGGAAATTGTTTTCAGTAGCAACTATGATTTTGAATAGTCTAGCCAGTTATATATTTTCTAAGTTAGAAGCCTTCTTCAATTTTCTATTTATGGCACAACTGTTTAAGAGAGTTGTAAAAAGCCAGCTAGGAAGAGTTCACTAGATGAAAGTCAAAGAGTATCAATCTTTTGGTACAGTTCAACAACAGATCATTCACAGAAGAAAGAGAGGAGATAATGAATATTATAAAGCATCCACATCTCATTCACAAGAAAGACAGGTTTCCTTACCTGTAATTGTCATTCTTCGAGTGGTCATCTGTGCATTCACTCAAAGCTGATTGATTAGTATTCGGCGGGAGCCCAGCCCACTACACAGCTAGCGTGAGGGTGGGATGCTGGCCGAGACCTCAGTTCAAGCTGAGGCCGCCATCATCATTGTGTCAGTGACACAGAATAACCCACACGTACAAAGAGAGACACCAGAGGGGATGGCGGGTGGGTATGTGTGAATGCACAGATGACCACTCGAAGAACGACAGTTATGGGTAAGGAAACCTGTCTTTATTCTTCGTGGTCTCTGTGCATCACACTTATGGGCGACTGGTGAGCTTACCTCAAGGAGGACGGTGGTGTTGCTTAGTGCAGCAAAGCAGAGAGGACAGATCCACCGAAGGCACAGTCCTCTCTTGACCTGACATTGAGGCGGTAGTGCTTAATGAAGGGTGATGGATTCAACCATGTGGCCGCCTTACAGAGATCAGTCAGGGACACTCCAGCATACAATATGGTGGAGGTGGATGTGGCTCTAGTGAGTGGGCCTTGACAGATCCAGAAAATTGAAGACCAGAGAGGTGATAGGCCAGACAAAGGGTATGGACGATCCACCTAGAAAGACTTTGAGGAGTTACTGGGTGTCCTCTGCGTGGCTCACCATAAAGGACGAACAGCCTTTGAGTCTGCCCGAGAGATTGGGTTCTTGATTTATAAAAGGCAAACGCCCTCCTGACTTCAAGGGAATGTAACACTGTCTACAGAGTAGATGGATTTTGGAAGAACAAGGGCAGGATTATTGGCTCGTTCACATGAAAATATGATACTACCTTAGGCAGGAAGGTAGGATTAGGCTGGAGGATGACTTTGTCTTTATGAAAGACTGTATATGGAGCGTCAATCCGGAGGGCTGCCAGTTCAACTGCTTGACGGGCAGAAGTGATGGCCACAGGAAAGGCTGTTTTCCATGACAGGAGGCGGAAATCACATGAGTGCATAGACTTGAAGGGAGACTTGGTAAGTGTGTGGAGGATGACAGACAGGCTCCATAATGGAGGTGGATGTCTGAGGGGAGTTAAATTCAGGATCCCTTTGAGAAACTTGTGTTTCAGGGGATGAGAGAATGCTGTTCACCCCTGGATTGGGTTGTGGAAAGCCCACGCTGTCAAATGGCATGTCTTCTATTCATGCTTTGGCCTTCGAAGCCATGCGAAGTGGTGGAGACCTACTGCTCCCGCCATATTGCGAATGCCACCCTCAGCTTGGTGTTGTGCTGTAAGGATCTCTTGTCTGGCTAGGTGCATAGCCTCATTCTTGATTTCATTTGCCAGGTCTTGGGTATCCTTACGAAGAGAATAGGGATGCCATTCTGTGCCAAAACATGAGGTGATATCTGGCCATGGTAGCTTGATAGTTGGCCATTTTTATAGACAGGGCTGATGAGGAGTAAAAGCAGTGACCAATGGCATCAAGGCACGTGCCATCCTTGTCCAACAGAGTGGCATGTTCCCTCCTGGAGTGTGACTGGGTGGACTCTACAACGATAGAGTTTGGCTGAGGGTGCTGAAACAGGAATTAAGCGTCATTCAGCATTTCTTGAACGTGATACATATTTTTGAGGCGGCATGGTGGCAGGGCCATGGATGCTGGGGATCTCCATTTATGATGGATCGCATCCAGCAGAGTTGGGAGCAGTGGGATGGTAACAGGTCCAGCAGACTCTGCATAAACAGCCATGAAGACTGGAACTTTGGCTCTTGAGGGTTCTTGTCTAGGATTAAGTCCTAGACTATGTGCCATTCGGAGAACCTGGGATGCAAAGAATCCAGTATCCTTGGGAGGTCAGGATAAATCTGAGAAGATTGTCATAAGACCTGGGGGAACATTGGATGGCTGGTCCTGAGAAGATGCCTTCGAGACTGAGGTGTATTACCCTCCTTTGGAGAGATCTTTGGTTCTATTGGTATGATAGGCAACCTCCATCCTCCTTGCTCAGCTATCTGCAAACTATAGAAAATTGGCAGGGTTTCGAGCCAGTTACAGGAACACACCGTGAGAGCTGGGACCAGGTAAGGGATCAAGTTCTGAACCCAACAGGCTCCAATGGGATCCTTGTCTTGAGCCGACAGAACCTCACTGTTCGGAATCAAAATCCCCTTGAAGTCTTGGGGAAGATTGATGTTTTCTATGAGGAACCTGAGCCAGGGGCGATCAAGGGCATTGTTTGGCTCTTTGTCTTGCGAGTTGGAGAAATACACTCAGTACTGAGGGTGAAGGTGAGGCTTGGCTCTGTACTGGAGGTTGGGCTGATTGAGGAGGCTGAAATGGTGATTCCAAATCTCTCCTTAGGACACGGAAGTGCTCACTGGAGGTTTGGAACGACTGTAGGGATTGTCCTGGGTTCTCCTGGCTTTGGGGTGGTGTTGTGCTTCCAGTACACGGGAGGATGCTAGGTACTGACAACTCAGAGCATGAATGGGCGCTTTTTGCACTTCCCTTCTCTTTAATAAGGGTAAAGTGACTTTGGAGACTTTACTTTCTTTTCCACCTTCTTTTGTTTTGCCACCTTGGGCATTTTTGCCAGTGGGGGAGGTGGCAAGTTGTCTGGGTTTTGAGCTGAAGCTCTCTCTCTCTCTCTCTCTTTTTGTGCTTCGAGCAATAGAGAGAAAATAGAGAGAAAAACCTGACCAGTGGGAGCTTCTACGTATAGGTTGCGAGGTAAGTTGGAGAAGACCTTCCCGATGCGCTCATGATGGTGGTTGAAGAAGAACTGAGGTCTTGGCCGGTGCCCCCCCTCATGCTAGCTGCATAGGGGGGTGGGCTCCCACTGAATACTAATTAGTCAGCTTTAGAATCTTCCTGAAAATCTGCTCCACACATGTGCGAAGAGTCCATATGTGTGATGCACAGAGCACGAAGAATAACTCTTTTATCCAAAAGCATTATGATAAAATCTGCTCAGGAAAGACTTCAGTACAGAATCATTTTCTTGAGACATGCACATGTTCAAATGTATATGGTACAAATGTTTAGGGGAGCTTCAGATGCGACACACTAGTACAGCGAAAGCTCTTGGAATGCACAGCTGCTTGATCCACAAAGCCATCCATGACAGCCAGGCCCAGATTCTCATGAAGTTCAGGGCCTCACAGACTAATATGCTTGTTACCTTATAAGCTTTAAACATACTTATTTTAGAAGCCACAGTTCTTCCATATCTCCACTTGTCTTCAATAATTTTTGGATTTTCTATAGTCTTGTCTTGCTCTTTGCAAAGAAACACACATTTTGAAGATCGGAAAATAACCCAAAATTAAATTATTTAAATTTTAGCAAGGAGACAGTCACAAGAGTCTAGATCTGAGGTATGACTACCAGCACTTATCAAAGAATAAAATTACAAATCTACAAAATTTGTATTGTGAAGGAATAAGGTTCATGTATTTTCCCCTATTTTTATGACTCATTCAAATTGGAAACAAACTGTTTGCTTGTGAAGTAGTAAATTTCACACTTCAGATCATGGTGTCTGAAGATTTACATGCAAAAAGTACAGGA